TGCAGTCAGTTAGCAGTCCAGTGCTGCTTATCCTACAGAGCCAACCCAGGACTTCATATACATATGAAACTTTTCCAAAAAAGAAAACAAAAATCACTTAAATTTTTTTTTTCTCAACACTCAAAACCAGATACTCCTATAGAATGATCTGCTTTATAACTTATGGTGATGAAATGAAAAAGAACTTTTTAAATTATAAAATTATTATAATCACTCTGTAGTGATTTTAAAACACAATTGTTTATTGGCATTACGATTTTTATGAGATAATCATTATTCTTAGAGTTAAAAATATTTTGTAAGTGCTATCATCCTTAAGGTGAATTCACTTGAAAAGTATCACTACTCTATAATATTTATGATTCAAGAGAACTTTCAAATATTATAGTTTTCACCTAATTTTAAAATATAAAAAAGTTGAACATATGTTTTATTCCTGCTACAACTAAAAACAAAACCAAAATATCTAGAAAATACTTTGTTGTATAACAATACAGCATGTTGTTATTGTCGAAACCATTGAGTCGGTTTCAATTCATAGTGACCCTACATGGAGTTCCCAAAGAGCAGCTGGTGGATTTGAACTGTCAGCCTTACGTTTACTAGTCCAGAGATTCTCCTACAGCACCACCAAGACTATTTCACCTCAGAAATATACGCTAAAGTCATGACTTAATTTTGAAATACAAGAGGACCTAGTCTAAAAGTAAAGATGATAGAATTGTGAATAAAAACTGCATTTAGAGAGTGCCTTATTAGTCATTTAAAATAGTTCTGAGGACAAGTACTATTATTAACCCATGAAATAATAATTTTCTAGGGGACAAAGATATACTACTTCCCTATAAACATAAAATATGCAAACATATTCCAGAAAACATGCATCTGAATAAATCCTTACTTTGAGGTGATAAAAGAACAAAAACTCAAATACCCTGTTTTGATAGGTAGCACTTCTCCAGTCTTTGCTCACGAGAATATCCATAATGTAGGTATGCTTCTTGCAGTGCACTTTGATACCACTTCTTTTTATTCTTACATTCTCCTGGCTATAAAAATGTACAAAAATAAGATTCATTTTAATATATACAATTTTGTTCTTAAATCCACTTCATTTAGCTCTTAAGTTAAAACTAAATCTGATTTAGAGAACTGCCCAATATATTACTTGTATTTTTGGTTGTTAAATGTCATCGAGGTAGTTCTGACTTTGTTGGTTTTAGAGTCTATAAATCT